TGGTGCTGGTGCTCAGAGGGAGTGTGAGTAGGTGAATCTGTGTGTGGGTTCTTTAAGAGGAACTACTGCCTGGGGCACCAGAAATTTCTTTCATTGACTCAGTCCCCACTGGTTTTTGCAGCCACAAGTTGTGGGGACTTATCTTCCTGGCACTGGAACTCTGGGCTTGGGGGGCCTGGTGTGGGGCTGGGACTCCTTGCTCCTCAGATACCTCTCCCAAATTTTTATCCACATGGGTGTGGGACCAGCCCATTCTGTGTCTGCGCCCCTCCTACCGGTCTGGATGGATGAGATTTCTTTAATTCCATAGTTGTCAGACTTTCCACTCAGCTCGATTTCTGTCGTTTCTGAGTGACGGTTGTTATGTTTTAGTTGTAATATTTGATGTGGCTGTGCAGAGAGGCGAGCTGTGTCTGCCTACAGTACCATCTTCACTGGAAGTCTTGTCTTCTTTTCTTTTGTCCTTTTATTTACTGTGTACCCACTGTGCTACTCTCAAGCAGATCATAAGTTTCTGAACATCTCTCTTTTTTAAATATCTCTAGTAAGACCTTTTTTATCTTTTTTCTTTAAATATTTTATTTATTTATTTATCTTTAGAGGGGAAGGAGAGAGGGAGAGAAACATCAATGTATGGTTGCCTCTCGTGCATCCCCTGCTGGGAACTGGCCTGCAGGGAACCAGCCTGCAACCCGGGCATGTGCCCTGACTGGGAATCGAACTGCAGACCTTTTTTATCTTTTAAAAGATTTTATTTATTTTTAGAGAGAAGGGGAGGGAGAAAGAGAGGGAGAGTAACTTCAATATTTGGTTACCTGTCATGCATCCCTTACTGGGGATCTGGCCTGCCACCCAGGCATGTGCCTGGGAATCGAACCTGTGACCCTTTGGTTTGCAGACCAGCACTCAATTCACTAAGCAACAGCACCCAGGGCTTCAGATGTTCTTTTTAAACACAAGCTAAAGATAATAACCTTCTTCTAAGAATTCTTTTAGCTCTCTCTCAAGTAATTTGGTATGTTGTATTCTCATCATTCACTTTAGATCACTTGATACTGTCCTGGAAGTGACTAAAACTGTTAATTTTTCCAGCCTTCAGAAAAAAAAAAAAAATCTGTTCTTTAGCCCTGGCTGGTATGGCTTAGTTGGTTGGAGCACTGTCCCATAAATGGAAAGGTTGAGGGTTCAGTACCTGGTCAGGGTGCATACAAGAGGCAGCTGATCAATGTTTCTCTCTCTTTCCCTCTTTCTGTAAAATCTATAAGCAATCTTTGGGTAAGGATTAAAAAACACTGTTTTAGATTGGTTAATTTCAGATGATCTTTCTTCATGTTCACTGACCCTTTCTTCTACTGTGTCCAGTTTGATGTTACGCTATCCAGTGAATATTTTATTTCAGATATTATACTTCCCAGTTCTAAAATGCCCATTTTTAAATTTCCATTTATTTTTTTATCTTTATTGTATTTTTCCCCATTACTATTTTGCTCTCTCATAACTCCCAGCTATCACCACCACATTGTCGTCCATGTCCATGAGTCCTTTTTCCTGTTTGCTCAATCCCTCCCACCCCCTAATCTCTCCCTTCCCAGCTATCATCTAATATTTCCATTTCTTTGCAAAAGTCTTTCAGTATATTTATAATAGCTACCTAAAGGTTTTCTGGTAATTCCATCAGGTGGGTCATTTGGAGGTCTTGGCTGACTTTCTTCTATGGCTTCTTTCTAGGATTTCAACCCTCATTTTCCAGCCACCTTGGCAGCCCCATACTGTACTCTCTGACCTCTCAAATAAATAGGACTGGTTTTCTATTTGTGTTGTAGTTACACTGTGCTATTTGGATATGGTGGTGTTATTAGGGTATAAGTTATATAATGAGCTCACTCAGTTTGAGTCCTTCTTTTCAAGCACTGACTTTCAGTTTGATCACTCTGCAGTCTTTTGCATGTGCTTTATTTGGGGTTTATAACTGTTATCTGTAGGAGGGTTGGTCTGAGGTACTTTACTGTTACTGTATCTTCGTTTTTCTGAGCCACAGCACATTGAAAGAAGGTTGAATTTCACTGAACTCAAGCACATCTGGTACTGGGATACATCACCATTTGTTCACTCTGTCTAGAAGAGATAGGTGTGCTTTATTGAGGATATTTATACTCTTCTCATCACCATGACAAAACCTATGATTTTATTTTTAATTAAAGATGTTTAGAATTTTACCATGATCGTATTAGAAGTCACCACTTTTCCATATTTTGTATTTTTAGGTCATTAACTTGACACTGAATATTTTCTTTCATTTTCTCAATTTAGATGAGTTTGGTGCTTTGGAAAGTGTGAAAGCTGCTAGTGAACTCTATTCTCCTCTAACAGGAGAAGTAACTGAAATTAACGAAGCTCTTGCAGAAAATCCAGGACTTGTCAACAAATCTTGTTATGAAGATGGTAAGTTAAGAATTTTTAAAAGGATTATTGCTGCAGTTAACATTTAATCTAGTTTAAAGCAAGATCTAGCTGATAGACTTTGTCTTTTTGCACTTCTTAGTATTAGAGATGTTCTGCCTTTTTTTTGAAGATTGATTGACTGATTGATTTCTTTTTAGAGAGGGAGCAGCATCAATGTGTGAAAGATACATTGATTGGTTGCCTCTCACATGCCCCCAACTTGAGAACTGGCCTGCCACCAGGCGTGTACCCTGAGTGGGAATCTAACCAGTAGCCTTTCAATTTACAGGGAGGTACTCAATCCACTGAGCCACATCAGCCAGGATGAGCTGTTCTGCTTTTAAAAAGAAAAACACAGACTAGCTGAATATCTAAGGTTATGTTTAAAATCTTTGTTGATAAAAGCATTGATTGTTTTACAGGGTTCTTAGTGTCAAATACTTGTAAAATATTTATCTTTTCAAACAGAAAGTGTCTATGTTATGTGATTCAGGTGGTAATAGAATAATATGTATTTTATTAATTTTCAGTTTTCTCAATCATCTCTCAGTAACCCATTGAGATAGGCTACTAATAATTCTCTCCATTTTGTAAATGAAATGAAGCCCCCCAAAATTTATCTGTTATGGTCACACATCCAATAAATAGCAAAATTAGGATTGGGTTGTAGTTCTGTTGCCTGTCATCTAGCCCTTCTAACTCTACTTTCTAATGCCATCACATCAGTAGTTAACAGTGTTGGTATTCCTCTTAATGAAAGATATACCTGGTCTTATACACTTGGATCTCTATGTAAAGTCTTCAATGTCATCTGTTGATACTTACTACAGCCTAAGAGTTGTTAATTGATTATAGTGGAATCTACCTAGTTGTAATGTTTTCAATTGTGATATGCAAGGATATTAATTCTAAGGCTAAAATGTGAAGCTCTTTTAACAAGTAAAGAGTTATATACCAGTAGGTAAAGAATACTACATCAATTTTGAAGCAGTAGAAAATTTATTTTAAAACAAGTGTTGGCAAAGATGTGGAGAAAAGGGAATCCTGGTACACCGTTGGTAGGAAGGCAGATTTGGTATAGCCACCATGCAAAACAGTATGGAGGTCCCTCAAAAAATTAATAATGGAACTACCTTATGACCCAGCAATTCTACTTCTGGGTATATATCACTAATTCAAAAGAATATATGCACGCCTACATTCACTGTGCATTATTTACAACAGTCAAGATATGGAAGCAACTCAAGTGCGTATCCATAGACAAATGGATAAAAAATGGTGGTACATATATACAGTGCAATGTCACTCAGCCATAAAAAAATGAATGAAATCTTAATCATTTGTGACAACATGGATTACCTAGAGGATTTTATGTTAAGTGAAATAGGTCATACAGAGAGACAAGTATATGGATTTTACTTACATACAGGATCTAAAGAACAAAATAAATGAACAAAAAATAGAAACCAACTCATAGATACAGAGAATAGACTGGTGGCTTCCAGAGAGGGTGGTGGTGGTTGGAGAGCTGGGTAAGAAGTGAAGAGAATAAGAAGTACTAATTGGTAGTTACAAAATGGTCACAGGTATATAAAGTACAACATAGGTAATATAGTCATAAATATTGTAATAACTATGGTATGGTGCCAGGTGGGTACTTGACATTGGGGGGAATCACTGTATAAAGTGTATGATTGTCTAACCACTATGCTGTACATCTGACACTAATACAAAATAATACTGAATGTAAACTGTAATTTAAAGTAAAAAATTTTTAAGTGTTTTACATTTTGAATGAATTTGACTTTTACTCTTTAAAGGGTAATTTGTGATAAAGGTTTTTTTAATTTTGGTTGCAGGTTGGCTGATCAAGATGACATTGAGTAACCCTTCAGAACTAGATGAACTAATGAGTGAAGAAGCATATGAGAAATACATAAAATCTATTGAGGAGTGAAAAATGGAACTTCCCCCTAAATAAAATAGTATGAAACAACTTAATCTAGCATAGTTGTCTTAAATTAGTGGTGAATAGAATTTTTAAAATAACAATTTTTATTCATACCACGGAAAACCAGACTACAACAGTGCTATTGGAAATGCCCCTTAACTTTCTAATGATCGAAGATAAACACAATTTGCATCTTTTGTATAACACCCTATGATTTTTAAGATAGGCTACAATTATAATATTCAGAACTCCTAAGATCATCTGTGGTGAAATCTAGTTGTCAAAATTATGTATTTCAAAGATAACATTGTTATCTTAAACCTTATGTAATATTATAACTTTCTCACATCAGTTTCTGGATTTGGGTCAAAATACTTAATGAGCCTTCCACTGGAAACCATGGGCAGTGGAGTCAGATGATGAACAAAACTATCTTAGCTTAGCAGTATACTAAGTTTGCTGGTGCTATTTTTACACAATGAAGCAGCAGCCTTGTGGAAAAACAAAGTTTAATAATAAACATTCAACTTCTTCATTAATCTTGATTTTTTATTTTGCTGTTAATATTTAGTGACTCTTCTAGTATTTGTGAAAATGCTAATTTTAACTTATGGAAAGTTCTTTTTTAATGAAATTAAAGCCATAACAATGAAAGTCCAAGTAATGTTTCCTATTAGTTATAAATGTGGTGTTTCTTAAGCAAGAATATAATAGCTTGGTAATGTTAAGTAATTTACATTACCACTAGAGGGGGCAATTATCATTAGAGAGGGGAAGGGAGGGAGAAAGACATCAATGTGTGGTTGCCTCTCATGTACCCTTTACTGGGGACTTGGCCCATAACCCAGACAAGGGCCCAGATTGGAAATTGAACCTGTGATCACGCCTTTGGTTCACAGGCTGGCCTCAATCCAGTGAGGCACACCAGCCAGGGCTGGTCATCTTTAATCATGAAAGAGAAACCACTGACATTGTTTTTCTATCATGCTAAGTTAGAAAGGAGGAAAAACAAGGAAAGGTGAAAGTTTGATCACATGGATGGCATCCTTAAGAAAGTTACACCACATTCAGGTTTCCACTTAAGAAATGGGAATAGAAGTTAAACTTTATGAGTTCACTCACTTAGGGAATGTGCTTTGTAGTTTCAGTGCTTTGTAGCACTTAAGTGAATGTGGTTTGTAGCATATTTAGAGTGCCAAATGGTACTTTAAGCCAACTGTAGTATGCTGACACTTTGAGGGGAGATATATACACATAGATTTAAACATGTGCATATAGTAAGAGCAGACACACGCCTCCATCATTTTCCTTGTTACTAGAGGAAAAGGAAAAAGACAACTACCTTCTAATGGTGAATAGGCAGCAAATATGAGAACCTAGAGGAAAATAGATAAATAATATATAAATCTTTCCTGTTCCTCAGCAGAAACTATTCTTTACAAGACTATGCCAATGGCCATATCACTGCTGATATGCAAAGGGTATCTTTGCACCCTTTTCAAGAAGGTATCTGAGAGCCCTGGCTGGTGTGGTTCAGTGGATTGAGCATCAGCCTGTGAACCAATGGGTCACTGGTTTGATTTCTAGCCAGGACACATGCCTGAGTTGCAGGCCAGGTCCCTGATTGGGGGGTGTGAGGCAACCAGTCAATGTCCCTCACACATTAACGTTTCTCTCCCTCCCTCCCCATCTCTCTAAAAATAAAATCTTAAAAGATCCATCCAAGATATCTGGGATGATGATCTGCTTGCTTGTGTAATTATTATTCAAATTAATTAATTAGACTATCTGCTTTGGAAATAAAGAGGGAGTAGTAATAATTACAAAGGTTTACTCTTTTGTTTTAAAGGTACTCTCATATATATTACCTTTTCTGATGTTCACAATAACCAGAGATAGGACATATCCAAGGATACCACCATTTCACAGGTAAGGTGAGAGAGGATAAGAGGATAACGTTACTTAAAAAGCTGGGCAGTTGCAGAATTTTCACATTTCCTGGTGCACTCTTCATCAATTACTTAGCAAATGTTACTGGAAAAAAAAAACATTTAAATGGGAATTGGAGGGGGGAGGGATGAGTGTTCTAAAGGTGGGAAGCAGAAATGGCCTTTCTAAAGTGAAAAGTTGATCAGTGATTGAGTCTGAAAGAGATGGGCAGTTTTTTTAAAATATTTAGAGAGAGGGAAGGGAAGGAGAAAGAGGGAGAGAAACATCAATGTTTTGCCTCTCGAGTCCCCTGCTGGGAACTGGCCGCAACCCAGCCCCAACAACCTCCGGGCCCACCACAGCCGCCAGCCAGGGCGGCAGTTTTTTATTCTATCATTCTTTCTCAGAAATAGACTTGCTTGGTCTGTTACACCCACTCCGGGGTTTTTCAAAGAGCAGAACATTATGAATGAACTTGCTCTTTCACAATTTAGAATACAGAGCCAATTCAACCCTCATTTCTATTAATACTGCTGCCAAAAAAATAGATGCTGAAAAGGGACTAAACTGACAGTTCTATTTCTTACAAGCTCATATTCCTTGTGAATAGTTTTCCTCTTAATAGAGTAGCTTAATAAAGGTTTTGAATATGCTTTCAACTTCAAAAATGAAATAGGTTACTCTGGAAGTGTTAAAAGGATTTCTTAACACCTCAAAAAATTTTTTATCCCCCAGGTAGCTGTTGACAGTATGTTTAATGAGGACAAACCACTAGAGGGCTCTCTGCATAGGCATGGCAGTGTGAAAAGGAGGCTGGTCAACTCATCTAATAAGAATTTTTTAATTTTTGTGAATTGCCCCAGTTTTTCTGGGGCTGCTAAAATGTGCCACCTACCCTCAGTTTAAAAAATCATGCTAACTGTAACTGTGCCCTCATTATTGCTCCACAATCTTATTTCAAACCTAATCACATACCTTCCTCAGAGAAGGCCCCCACTTTACATCAAGATAAAATCTCTCTGCAACTGACCACCTACCTTTACCAGTCATTTTCCTTCTTCCATACACCTCCTGATCCCATCTTTCTGCTTTGGAAACATCCGTTTGCCAACTCTGAGATACTGTACCAGAACTACCAATAATCTTGCTTCAGTCAAACACACTTGTCCCTTAATGTTTCTGCTCAAGCTACCAGGGCATTTACCTGCTACACTCAGTAGTGATTACTAATCCACTTAAAACATGCAAGCCCAATTAGTGTGAAGGAAATGAGTTACCAGATTTTCCAACTGCCCCATGCACAATACTTATGAGAATGTACTTGCCATTAAGAAGTTTAACACTTAGTAAATCTTAGTTAAGACTGTGGTATGCTTCCCAGAAACAGAGAAAGTAGGTTTAATGACTCTTTAAATGTGACTTTTTAATGTGACTAGGATAACAAATTCTAATAGTCGCATGGTTCCAGATTTTGTTTTCAACAGAACTGAAGGAGGATCTAAGCAAACTGTCAACTGATAGATCATTAATTTTTTGTTGTTGATCACTATGTGGTTTCTGGTGCGGAGAGTGGTTTAAAAAAAGTTAAGAGACTATTAACAAAACCCTTTCATGTGCATCTTCATATGAACAAGGTATCTCAGCTTCCATCTATGAAAAAACTGGAATCAAATTGGGGTTGAATTTTTCTCATTCTAATAATAGTATTTACCCACAGATAGATGGAATATATTCTTAATGTTCACTAGCTGAGTAGGAATAAAGGTAATCCTCAATCTGGAAAGAAGGTGAACTATTTTAGCCTTGCAGTCTTCAGATAATTTTTAAAATTTAATTTTCAAGTTAAACATTTTTATTGCACAGAAAAATGACAAGAATACTTAATAAAAGTCCCTGACCATAAATATGTTAAAATAAAATTCTGTGGAGGAAGCAGAATAAGAGTACAATTATCAATTTAAGGAGAAAAAGCAAAAGAAAAACTTCCATCTTTTAGTTTATTCATGTATTTTATTTTTTAAAGATTTTATTTATTTTTAGAGGGGGAGGGAAACATCAGTATGTACTTCTCACCTACCCCCTACTGAGGACCTGGCCTGCAACCCAGGCATGTGCCCTTACTGGGAATGGAACCAGTGACCCTTTTGGTTCCCAGGCCAGCACTCAATCCACTGAGCCACACCAATATTCATGCATTTTTAAATATTATATTGATGAGTATCAAATTGCCATTAAATTTAGATTTTTTTCATTATTTTTAAGAGTAACGTTAACATTATCCTTGGCTACTATTTAAATTTAGGATTAAAAGTTTAAGTTTCAATACAAAAAAATGCAATAGGGTATGCTGTTTTGTGTACAATTCTTTTTAGTACCATTCCTTCCAGGTTGTGAAGCCAAATCATCCAAATATGTATATTTTAGGTAAAGAAATATACCTAAAAAAAGTCGTCATATTTTACAAAAGTACTTTGTTCTAAAAGTATTAGAATAATGTAATATTCTAAGACATTATATTAAAGTCTTTGCATGGACTTTAAAGCCTTTCTAATTATGTTCTGTAAAAGGCAGTAATACCTATCTTTCCAAATGCCTTTTAATCATTGATATAAAGGACTTATATTCTAATACTTTTCTACAGCAGAAATATTCATACTTCTAAAACCAGACAGCAGAAAAATTTTGGAATCAGACCTGAGTTGGGTCGAGGCTCTACGATCTAATGACTATGCACAGGTTCCTACCCCTGGCTGGGTGCTCAAAAGTTCCTTAGTTCATTTAAGGTCGCAAGGCTACTTTTCTTCATTAAAAACAAAACTAAACTCCAATGCCCACTTCACAGAGTTAAACAACTGTTAGTTGGTATTGCCAGTGGATTCAAACCTGTACTGTCCAGTCACATAAGCAGGCACCGAAGAGTTGAAAACCAATGGATACTACTAAGTTTTTGGCATCAACCCTAGCAGTCATTCTCACGGGGGAGAGGAAATTTGGAGTCAGCTGGCAAAGCTAGAGACATTTTTGGTTGTCACCTCGTGGATGGAGGCCAGGGACGCTACTAACCATCCTGCAGTGAGCACGGCGGCCCCACTTAAGAAAAATTCGGCCCTAGAACAAGTAAAGGCGAGAAGCCATGGGTGAGCGGAAGCCGGTCCACAGGGCCCTCGCTTTCTAACTCCAGAACACGGCGGGCATCCTGCCCCTCGTCTACTTCCGTAATCGGCGCTTCAAGCTACACGTTACCTCTCAACGCTCGCAGCCGGCCGCAGCACCGCCACACACACGGCGGAAGGTCTGCGCCCACATCAAGGCCTTTGGGACCAAGAGCTCACCTAGGTCCGCCAGTGTCGTTTCCCGCGCTCAGGTTTGTTGCGCAAGGCAGAATACGTCACTTCCGCTGTAAACAGCCACAGGCCCGCCCACCACTCGCCTCCAGTGCGTCGTAACCCAAGGCAACTGTCGCCCTCCTCCGGCGCCGGCGAGGACTAAATTGCCTTGGCTTTCCACCTGGTGGGCCCCAAGTAGTGAGTCGCGGCGGCCACTTCCCAGTCCCCGAAGCAGGGCCTCACACCACTCCACGGGCGGCAGAGCCGGAAGACCTGCCCAGTACGAAAGGAAGCTGCCCTCCTAAACGGGGAGGCAAAAAGGAGAGGTAGTATGGAGATGAGTTGGGATTAAGGGCGGGGCCTGGAGAGCGTGGGGCAGTGGGAAGGGCCGTTGAAAGGGCGGAACCTGTGGGGCAGGAGCCAATCGGTGGAGCGGTGGGGTTTGGTGGGACAAGTAGGGATGTTTTGCAGGAGGGGTTAGCTCTTGAAGGTAGAGAGGGCATCTTTTGTACTTAGGTAAGAACTGCTGGAGGAAGGGAAGGAAGTAGGTGAGGAAGGAGGAAGGATCATGGAAGAAGGGGAGGAGCCTGCAAGGCTGGGAGGAACTATTCAACCTTAATACTTTAATATATCAAAGGAACGGGTAGAGACAGGTATGAAGTGCCTCAGTGCCTAGGCTCTAGGAAAGGCAGATTGGAGTGTGTGTTTGACTTGTATTTTCACGTAGACTGTAAACTGTATGAGAGCTGGGAAGATGGACATTGCTTTACTATTTTATTCCCAGTGCTAGGCAGCCAATAGAATGAGTGAATGCATGTAAGTGGAAAAAGTGGAAGAGTTGGAGTGCTTGGAGGAGGGATGGTTGTAGGAACCACACTCCTAGGAGTCACTCAATGAACAATCAAAACTGTTGTGCTCTGTGGGCACATAATAAGGATAAGGCACAGATAATTAACATGGGGAGATAAGATTTATACTCTCGAAACTGAACAGTTTGCTCAAGTTGGGTGGCATATGTGCTTAACTTTGAGCCAAAGTTTCAACTCCCTATCGACTTGTGTTCCAAATCTGTGAATTAGATTGAAGTTCTAATGTCATTTTCCTTTAGAAACTATGTTACTAGTGATCAGCATGCCCAGACCAGCCTTTGAGGCCTATTTAGCCAGTTCACAGGTGTGAAGCTTAGCTCTGTATTACAAAACCTAGCTTCCATCACGGCTGTTTTTATTCATTGATTTCTTCAACATAAAATGATAAGGGTCCCTAAGAACATCCGTTCAGAATTCCAAGTGAGTCATCTTTTCCTGGCTGAAATTCTTTAAACCTGAAACTTCCAGGAAGATGGGGGTAGGTGTGGGGATATGGTGTAGAGTCAGGGAAGTGGTAAGGCATTTTGGGGTATTACAGCCTGCTTTTGACTTAAACATCTGGGCTTTTTGTCTCTCCTGGCCATCAGTGTTACCCTTACTGTTAATTAATTAGAAATATGTTAACCAGGTGTAGGAATCTAGGGTAAGACATCTGTAGTCTGACTATATAGATAGGCAATGGCAAATATGTGAAAAATGTGCTTCCAACTTCCTTATTTGTTCCCTGACAGACATCATTAGTCTAATCTTTCCTGTTGTGTCCAAGTCTTAAGATCCTTCTCAACACAGCACCCTAGGTGTTTTGCAAGTATTTGTTTGCAACTGACAATTTGGAACATATTCTTTATCCCTAATGTAGATAATAAATGTAAAAAAATAGACAATAATGTAAATTTAAATTTTCTTATCTCTGGGTAATATTCCTTTTTGTTTTCAGTGGGATTATCTAAATAGATGGATCAGGAATCCCATAGATAAAGTTTAGAAATGTAGACCAGATACTTATATAATAAGGTTGGATAATTAGTAAACACCCAAGTACCAGGGGTACCCACAGGGCATTGTCCTTTATCCTCTCCTCACCAACATTTATATCAGTGATTCAGATGAAATTACAGAAGGCACATCCATTCAACTAATAAAGTCTTAAATTGAGAATGGGAAGAAATGATTCAGAATTATCTAAGCAGGCTGGGATAATGGTCCAAAACCAAGAGAAGGACATTTTAGAAGAATTTAATATATTTGGATGTCCGCATTTAGCTGAAGAGAAGAAGAAAAAAATTAAAAGGAAAACAACAGCATGGGAATGGAATCAAGAAGACAGGAATTATTAACATGTGAAAGAAATCTGGAAGTTCTAGCTGACCTCAAGGTCAGTGTTAATCAAGATTGGGATACAGGGTTAAAAAATAGCAATCTTTGTTGAATTAATAGTGTAGATTTCAGATCAAAGGAAGTCAGATTTCAAAATAAACACTCCTAGCCAGATCAAATTTGAAGTATCAACCTAATTTTCAGGTACTATATTTTAAAGACATTGAGAAGTGACTGTGCATTCTTAAGATGAGGGAATTTGAGATTCTTGTTTGAAGAAATATTAGCTGTCTTCAGATATTTTCAGGAGTGTCATGTGTTGCTTTTGGGAGGAACATCAGGAACTGAGAAGCAAAATTGCAGGCTTGCTGATGTCTTGATTGGAGAACATTTCAATCTTAAAGTTGCCATTGGAATGGAAAAAATAGCTTGTAAAATAATGAGCTCTCAGTTATTAAAATTATTTAAGCATGTCTAAGAACAGTGCCTAACCTCGGGTCATGAAGATTTTTCTATGTTTTCTTTTAAAAGTTACGTAGCTTTATGATTTTTATTTAGATCTATGATCCATTTTGGATTAAAAATTTTTTTTTTTGCATATGCATGGCCACTGGTTGCCACACTATAGTTGAAAAGACCATCTTTTATTCATTTAATTAATTTTGCATTTTGTCAAAAATCAATTGGCCATGTTTGTGCGGGTATACTTCTGGACTCCCTATTCTGGCCCATTAATCTATGTGTCTTTCCACTCGCTCATGTCATACTGATCGCTTTCCCTATGGCTTTATGGTGACTTAAAATTGGGTAGTGTGATTCCTCCACCTTATACTTAGTTTCAATCATTGTTATAATCATTATAGTTCCTTTGTATTTCCTAATAAATTTTAAAGTCAGCTGGTCGAGATTGACTAGAAATCCTGTGCTAGATTCATATCTTGATATGCAACAGCTATTCCTCCAACTTCTTTAAGATTATCTATTCTTAGGCCTTTATATTTTCATATACATTTTAGAATCCCCAAAAAGGAAAAAGTTGTAAGAATTATCTTTTTATAAGCACATAGTCTTATCTTCTGAAGAGCTAGGAATTCCTGTTCCCAGAGGCCCTGGACTCTTCAAGGACTATAAATGTCCACATTCTAGGTAGTGACATTCTTAGCACATAAAGGCCATCTGCTTTGTATTGCACATCAGATAATACCATACTAGTGTGGTACCAAGATATTACTACTGGTCACCAAAATCTGGCCGTCTTTTCTTTCTGGAGATTTAGGAGGAAGTATAATCCTCACTTCTCCTTGAAGTTAGGCAGTACCTTGTGACTTGTTCCAGCGACTGACATGGTGACTGAAGTCATATGTTACTTCCAGGCAGAAGCATCTAAGAGTCAGTGTGTGATTCCCCTTGTCGGCTATCACAGTTTGCCATGGTTTTCCATTATGGTGTCTCCATTAGTTCAATTCCAGAGTGAGGATAAAATGTGTAGCAGGGTCTGTAGCCTCACTCAATAGACACGTAGCTTGTGTTAGAAATAATTTTTTTTTGTTTTTTATCACTGGGGAAAAATTAGGAGTGCATATTATTGCAGCATTGCCTTGCCTATCTACACCAATAATAGGTAGCTCTGGTTCACTGACAGTGACCATGCCAAACTGAAGTGCACTCTGGTAAGGCTGCCAGGGCAGCCTTTTCCAAAAAGAACCTGGCAGATTGAGCCATATCTGGGATACACTCAAAACAAAACAAAACAAAACAAAACAAAACAAAACCCCCCAAATTCAGAGTTTTATGGAGATTTAAAAAATCAATTTCTAACTTCACTTTCATTAAAATGATAAAATAACCACATTGTCTCGACCAAAAAAATTTTTTAAAATACAAAGTCCTTTTCTGTACTAATATGACATCCTTCTGTCTGTCTCTTGTGTCTTCTGCTGTCCATAGTCCATCAGCTACTAGCCTTTTGGAAATTTATGTTTTGGGTCAGGTGGTCTCTATTTCACATAGTTTTTACTTTGGTCAACATTATTTATTTACAAATAGTAAATATGGTCATTGTTTTCATTTTACATTGATTTCAGCCCCTCCCACCTCATTTAAACTTTTATGTAACACATCTATGAAAATAGCAACAGAAAAATATGTCCTTTTCCTGGACTCTTGTAATATTGGTATGTCTTTGCCCTTGGCCCTCTGTAGCTTAATGGAAGTCTGTATTTCAGGAGGAGGACACTGTATTCTAAATTACAGATTGGTTTGGGCATTACAGCTATAATGCCCAAATTATATAATTTATATAATTAAAATTTTTATTAATCATATTTTAAAAAGAAAAAAACAGGTACAACCAATTTTAATACATTGTACATAATCTACATTATTCAGTATATTAGCATTTCAATATGCAATTAATGAAAGCTACATTGATATTGCCATATGTATAACAAAGAGGCATTTGGTGGTGTCTGTACTTCTCAGTTCATAAACAAATTGTGTGATCATAATACAACGTTAGAGATCCCAAAGGTAAAGTCAATTTTTTCTGAATTTCCAATCCATTATTTTGCAGTTCAGTAAATATAATAAGAAAGCCTTTAGTACTTTGACTTAAGAGTAAGTGGACAGTTATTCATGGAGTTTCTCTAAATCACCTTCATAAACTCTATTCTCTGATTGTTATACCTTTGTGATACAGCTGTTCTTTTTCAGTAAGTCCTCGTTCTTTAATCCAACTTAAAATTATACAAACTGTTTTATCTATTCTTTGATACATTTATTTCAGTTTGCTTAAGATCAAAATTTGTCCTATGTTCACTTCTACCATTATTCCATATTTCATTCCTTGAGCCACTCTGATAGTGTAGTGGCTTAAAATTTTTCCTATTACAGGAAACTTCACTCTTACATAAAAGTAGAGAGAAGAGCACAGTTAACCGCTGTGTCCTCAAGCCCATCTACGACAAACAGAGCTCAAGACCACTTTTATTTCATCCAGCTACACCCACCACATGCCCCACCCCTGCCACACTACTTGTGCAATTATTTTGAAGAAAATCAAAATGGCTTATGTTTAATTGGTAAAATAAAAGAAACTATGTCACAGATGTTTTTGCTGAGCATTTCCTTTCCATTTCTGTCCTTAAATGCTACCAGAAAAGATATTTTCTGGATCATAGTGAATTTCCATAGGCTCTGTTTCACAAAATCTCGTCATCTTCTTGATTTCATTTCCAAATATCTTAAGTTCATTGATCAGTTTTTCTTTGGGTTAATTTGGTTTATCCAAGCATGTACTTTGGGGGCTTGGACCTCAGTGAACATTTTCTTCTTTGGTTTGAGACACTTTAATAGCATATGTCACAGAGTTTAAGACCTTCTGGACTACATCCATGTGCCTTCTTGCTTCGTACTCCAAATCCGATTTTCTAGTTACATCTGCAAATGCATTTTCCCATGGTAGCACTTTCACTATGGTATTTGTGTTTTCTTAATGTGATTTTCTTGGGAAACATTTATAAGGACTTTGATTTATGCTTTATACCAGTGATTCTCAAACAGAATCAGGTTGTAAAGCTTGCTGGGCATCCAGAAGTGGAATAGCATGAGCTCTTGATTTGCTTCCAGTCTGTAAGCTAGGCAGAGTTTTACCATCAGAAAATGTGAGTATTATGTCAGTGCAGATTTCTACATTCCAACAGAGAAGTAAAATAATATAATTTGTAAGTCACATTCCTGTAAGTCTACAGGAATAGATATTCCTGTAATACCTACTCTTTTAGTTGATCTTTGATTGCTTCTTATACATTTCTATTTGTCATCTCTTACAAGAGACAGAAGACAAGAAAAGTTAGAAGGCAATAAATCTTGAAGTCACATTTACAGAAGGAAAACTGAAAATTAAGACTATGCTTCCCACTAACTGAATTTCTTTTCTCATTAGGAAAAGACCACCAATATTCTGTTTTAGTTGTGGAGCGTCTTGATCAGTCTGGTGTGAAGAATACCAGGGGCCTGGAGGAGCACCCAGCAAGCCGGTATGTAGGAATCTGACCATTTGACTAAGAATACTGTGCCTACTGACTCAGAGGGGATTCTTAGTTTTCAGTCATAAGGAGTCAATATAGTTCCCATGATACCCCATTAAATGAGTAAAGTACTTATAAAATGTAGTATTTATAACCAATATGTAAAGCTCTTATAACAATGTTTGGCAAATAGCAGGAGCTATGTAACAGTAAGTTTTATTATTAAGTTATTATTGTAACCTTGGCTTCTTTTGGCACTTTGTAATGCAATGTGACCGGAACCTCTTCTGGTGCCCTCACTGGGTCCAGTTCTACTGACTCCAAAATAGGGCTCACCCAGTATTGTGTCCTCGGCCTCTGCTGTTGCTCTCTCTAGATACACAGAGATTTAAAGCCATCCACTAAGATTTCACATATTCTCATGGCATATAAGAAATGGTTGAAGGCACCGGAAATGGTCAGTCTAAAAGAGAGAAGAGTATATGGAACTCTTTCATAGGGCTGTTGGGATGCAGAGGCGGTGGGGCCATCTCTGGGTCAATGATTCTTCAGCCCTTTGTAGTGACTGCGTTGTGGCTAATGTAGGCCCTTCCCTGAAAAATCACTGACCATCTTCAGGGGCATCAGAGACTTTCTTAAGCCCAGTCAAGTAGATTAAAGACCAAGGCTGTGTGCTTCTTATCACACAGGGCAAAATGAGGCTCAGGGAGGGCCTCAGGGAGTGGAGGAGGATGATGGGGCAGAAAAAGCCGTCTTGGTTCAATGTGAGGAAGAACTTTGTAACAGAGCAGTAGTTCTCCAAATTTGCTGGATTTTAGAATCATCTTGGGTGATTTTAAAAATCCTTAGGGGGGGGGTGTGCCCCTACCAGTTATAATCAGAATTTCTGTGGGTGGGGTCTGGGCATTTTTATTTTTTTAAAAGCTCCTCAGATGATTCCAAAGTGCAGCCAAGTTTGAGAACCAGGCAATTAGAGCATTAAATTACTTTGCCATTTGAGCAGCCTCTCTAAGTAGTCTTGTCAGTGGAGGTGCTTTAAGCAAAAAAACTTTTCTTACTGATTCAAACATTCTAGAGCTACTTAATTTTTCCTGAACATTACCTATTTCTTTGTTTAATAACCTCAAGTTTAAGGTTATCTATTATTTTATTATTTTTAAGATTTTATTTATTTATTTTTAGAGAGAAGGGAAGTGAGGGAGAAAGAAAGGGAGAGAAACATTGGCCTGCAACCCAGGCATGTGCCCTGACTGGGAACCGAACCCATTACTCTCTGGTTCGCAGTCTGGTGCTCAATCCATTGAGCCACACCAGCCAGGGCTAAAGTTATCTATTATATAATAAGTGGCTTCACTTTTGATTCTCTGCTTTTCCCCTTTCGAACTGTATGCTTATTAGGTCTGTGGAGTTCTGTAGTATAAATGTATTTGTAATTCAGAAAAGAAGAAGGTCAGAGTGTATTTATAGGAGCTTTTTTGGCCTGGAGAGTGACTTTTAACACACAGACTGAGAAAGGTCATTCATCTAAGCCTCACACAGCCAATAAATAGGATTGGAACCCTGGCTGTTTGACACTTGAGGTTGTGCTCATGATCAGGATTATAGATTTCCTAACTTTTGGGCTGGATTATAAATGCCAAGTTCCATTTTTTAACTTGGAAAAGCATCAATGAAGGATAGATACAAAGCTTCCTATCATTGTCACCATTACCTCCACAACTACTGTCACCATCCCCTACTGTGTTAGTTTCCTAGGGCTACAAAGGACCACAGACCGGGTGGCTTAAACAACAGAAATCTATTATCTCACAGTTCCAGAGGTTCAGTGTCCAAAATTGAGGTGTTAGTAGGGTTGATTCCTTGTGAAGACGGTGAGGGAAGGGGTCTGTTCCAGGCTTCTTGCCTTTGTTTATATATGGGCATCTTTTTCCTGTTTCTCTTCACATCATCTTCTCTCTATGCATGTTTGTGTCCAAATTTCCCCTTTTAATAAGCACACCAGTCATATACGGTGGATTGGGGTGAACCGATTGACTGAGCACAGACCACGTGGTCCACCAGTTTCCTTAGAAGCCTAAGGACCCCCAGGTTGACATCCAGAGTTGGGAAAGGCAAGAAGAGGCTGGGGTGCCTAAATCACACACGTCCACTGCAGTTCTTTTGTTATTAGCACAGTATCTTTCGGACATTTTTGGAGTGGAGGGTCGGGATGCTTCAACCTACATTGCTTACTGCAGTCTGTACTCCATCATGGGGATAGAGCCTGAATCAACATCTTCCTCTCTTTTCATCACTTCCAACTTTGGTCTTTAATCATATCCATTAATTAGTCTTTAATTAAAGTTAGACTTATCTTTTATAATGCCAATAGATGGCAATGGATGGTTCTGTAATATTTTTTCTGAGTCAGTTCCTGAATGTGTTAAAGATATTTCACCCAAATTATTCTTTTTTTTTTAAGTCAGTATTAAAAAACTGAGTTCAGTCCACATTTCAAACTACAGGAAGAAGATGTTAAAAACTTTAAACAACCATCAGAGTAATAACAATAATGGATCTCTGTCAGAAAAATGAAACTGAGATAGAAAATAGAGAAAATAATGAAATTCAAAGCACAGAAGAAGCTGAATTAACCTATACTTGTCCAGATGGAAGAAGGGAAAGGAATCATGTTTGTTGTCTTCTCAATATCAGTGCCATTACACTTGAACAAGATGAAAAAGCCCGCAAGTTTGTTATTGGAACTGGATGGGAAGAAGCAGTGAGTATCTTCTTGAGTTGGGTCTCTTGCACATCAGTATTTTGATACAAGCCTTTTTACTTTTTTCAGAAATAGATACTATTACCAAAAATGTGTAAACAATGAAATATAGAAACCTTTGGAACACAAGTAAAATATTAACGATGAGGATAATAGTACCTCTTAGTGAGTATTTATGGCCACTTGGTACCAGCAAGCACAGCACTGAATGCTTCACGTGCATCACTTCATTCAACCTCACAGTAGTCCTATGTGGCAGGTGTTATGAACAGCCACACTTTTTGGACAAGGATACGGAGGCACCCAGAGGGTAAAATAATGCAGTGAAGATCTCCCTGCCAAGGGCCAAGGTCTTCTGGACTCCAGAACCTTAGCTCCTTAACTACGGTACTAAACTGCCCAAGACACCTGAGATTTCTGTCCTGTAGAATTCAGAATCCTGTTTAATCTTAAATTGTCTTTAGAATCAAGAATGGAATTCTAAATTTAGAACTATAAGGAAATTTAATTTAAAGTTTCTCAGGTGACACTTGGCAATGTCACAGTAGGGGGTAAGGGGGAGGAGGTGCTACCGGCATCCGATAGGTCGAGGCCAGCAATGCTGCTCCGCATCGTACAATGTCCAGGACAGCGCCCATCACTAGGAATACTCCGCCCTATCAGAGTTCAGGCTGCTGTAACAGAATACCATACACAGGATGGCTTCAGCAACAGACAGTTTCTCCTCACAGTTCTAGAGGGTAGAAGTACAAGATCAGGGCGCCAGCGCCAGCATGGTTGGGTTCTTGGTGAGGGCCCTCTTCCTGACTGTGCCCTCACATGGCCTTCTTTGTGGTGTACAAGCAAAGAGACAGAGAGAGATTGAGATCCCATGACTCCTCCTTTTCTTATAAGGACACTGATCCCATCATGAGGGCTGCTGATCCCTCATGGGGTCAGTGCCAATATTGGTAGTGCCAAGGTTGAGAAACCTCAGTCTACTTGGTTTATTTTATAAATGTGGAACTGAGGCCAAGACAAGGCCCGTGGTTCGCCCAGTGGTTCATCAAAGTCCACTTGACAGTTGAAACAATCGAGTCTTCAAGAGCCCTTCTCTAGTATTCTCTCTCCTGCGTCACCCCACTGCCACCTTAAGCATGTAGGACCTTCCAAACACATACTCCCATGTCTGATAAGTCAGGGCTATAGGCCGTCCTATTTAAGATTTTAAAACTTTCTAAATTGAGAAGGTTCTGTTTACTATCGAAAGTATTGAAATAAACATCTAAGGGCTGTTGGCATGGACCCACCTTTGCTCATCTCTCCCTCTGGCCGTCTCCCTGGGTGTAGTAAACCAAGCCTGGAAGTACGGCAAAGCCTGGTATAGGAGATAAGGACAAATAGTTTTGAATGCATTTCTATTTAATAGTTCCAAATTTATTTTAATGTACATCTAAAAAACATAGCATGTCAAGATGGCCATTTACAGATACAGTTGCTTAGTATTTTACAAATCCTATTGCTAGTATTTCAGATTTTAAAATACTATATTGCTTAATATGAGGCTAAAATAGGTATTTAAAATATCAGTTCAAATAGGATGGCCAGAATGGGGATGCAGCCAACATTGGGGTGGCTAGAATGTGGGCAGCTCGGCTGAGATTAACATACTGCTTTATTTGCAGGTTCAAGGCTGGGGAAGGGTTTCTCCAACTGCCTGTATCTGGCCCAGGAAGAAGCTTAAAAAGCCGAAGGTGGGAGAAAGTGCCAGCAGCTGCTTACTCTGTGTCAGTCTCTCCCAAGGGATCCCTGAGACCAAGCCTCAGTCAGAGGCCGGGAAGTTGGAGTGTGGGACTCCGTCTGAGGCAGACCCAGAGAGGGATCAAGGCAGCCCCTCCCAGACTCAGAGCCAGGAGCTCAAAGACCCCACCACTGCCTCCAGGGAGAGTGGCAAGATGTGTTTTCCCTCCTGCAATCAGGGAGAGAAAAAAAATCTGCAAATAAAAGAGTTTATTTGGTGCATGGAAAAGTGGGCCACACCAGAGACTATTAGGGCCAAGGGCCCCAGCGGAGGTGCCGACCAGGGTCATTCTATCTCAGACTCATGGACTTCCAAGGCCCTTTTAATTCTGCCTCCTCTGAAGGCTTCAGCCCCAACTGGCTTGGGTGTTCTGGGTAAGAAGAGTAAGAACTTTCTCTTGCAACCAGAAGAGAAGGTGCTGCGTGTAGAAAAGGATGAGTGTGTGGCTTGTGCATGTGAATTGAAAACAGTTGGCAGGAATAATGGAAAGAGACCCGTTGAGCTGGCCAAGCACCTTAAGGTCAACTGCAGGCAGCCTTTTCCTCCCCCAGTGGTCAGGACATCCCTAGTGGCCAATCTGGAGAGGGGCTGCCTGCACTGGTCTATCCTGCCTGAGAAAAACCTGCTGTGCCCTCCCCATTGCAACAATGTTCGCTATCTCACCACCATGCAGCTTTTGCAGAGACAGGGAGTGCAAAACTACAAAGCCAGATTCAAAGCTAGGGAGCCGAGACCTCCCATGAACACTCAAAAGTGCATTCCCAAGGAGGCCAAGCAGGAATACAGGCACCAAACACTGGAGACCAATGTGTTCCCAACACCTCTCTTACCATCTCTCACAGTGAGCAGAGTTGTTATTCCTGTATCCACTCACAGATTCCTCTGAATTGCCACGATATAATTCCCTGGGCATTCATCCCATTCATCCTCTCTTTCTCTTCTGCCCCTACTCCATTCTCTTTTCTTCCTTTCCCTCATCTCCCCTCCCCTCCTCTTCCCTTTTCTCATTCCTTCCCCCCGCCTTCTTTCCTCCCCATCTTTGTCCTTTTTTGCAGTAGTAGAACCAGAGGAAATAAACTCATTGTATGGGTTTTGCTTTATTCTCAAAACACCCATACTTATGTGTTACCTGCTTCAGTTGCTCAGTCATTTACAAAATGCAAAGTGGTAATGCCAGTCTCAGTCTCTGCCCACCTTACAGCTCCTCTCCCACTGGAAGCCAAGTGGATGGTGGGGAGTTTGAAAAAGGGCCTCTCTCAGTGATGCCCCTGTGCACCCTTGAGCCCACTGGAAAGGGTTCTGCCCTATCCCAGTGCCTTAAGTGTACTGGGCTTGTCTGGATGAAGTTATTTCCTGATAAATCAGGCAGATATCTGTATGTTGCTTCATTTTCTCTTGCAACAAAGATCTGAGATGTTGCTTGAGTAGAAAACTCCAGTCTGTGTCTAAATGGCTATCCGTGCATTCCAGATGACATATCCTTATGTTATATCCATGGGTACACCACAGCCATTGGTGCTATGTGTGCAAAGTGACATAAATCCATGGGTTTACCATACTTATTGTATCCTTTGTATCCAAAGTGACATGTCCTTGTATTGTAGCCTCATGCTAATCTCTGTGTCTGAGAAGTTTTAGCCACAGTTCCACAAAATCCATCTCGGGAAGGAGCTTAAGAATAGTTATTTGAAAAAAGATCACTGTGATTATTGTCACCCCACGTACTATCTTTACCCTTACTTTGCATCTAATATTTGGAACTTGACAGCCCCAGATAGACACTTAGAATGTGGTGGTTACTTTCTCCCTTCTCCCCCTTCATTTTACTCCAATGCATGTTTCCTGGAGTTGTATATAAATTAAACCTTGTTTGTAAATGAGTTATATGTTAAATGGCAAGCGAGCAGAGAAATGCTCTGAAAAAAAACTTTGCAATATGAATAACTAACTGCTCTGTAATTACTGTTCGAATTTGCTTAAGGTAGGTTGTTCTTGAAATCTGAACTTTCCATCCCATAAATGATGACTGTTTATAAACACCTGCTCTCTGTAATTGCTCTTTAATTGAGGTTGTTTGTTTTGTTGGTTTGTTTTTCTGAAACACTGGGAATACAGGGATGATTATAGTACAGCAGTCATTAAAAGGTATATTTTTGCCTACTTTGGTTGGACACTCCTTTACAGTCTAGCAGCAGTTTTTAGGTTCTTGTCATCCCTTCTTCCCTGAATGAACTATCAGGTTTCTATCCCCAAGGAAAGGCCCTGATTTCCAACGGTTTCTGGACAGCAGGGATGTTGGACCTGGTATGTTAGAGGATACTCCAGCAATGGCAGCCTGCCCACCTAAGTCTGTGGGTTTTCAAGCCCCCTTTTATAAGCAGCAGAATAATAAGCCCAATATGTGAAACAATCACAAGTATTTGATTGGGAAGGAAGAACACGGACCAGCATGAGTGAGGGTTGGAGCCCCACCTCGTCAGCCCAGAAGTGCTTTTGAGATCTTGAGGCAGTTTGAAAATACTGATGTAAGTTATGACCAAATATTTCTTTCTTATGAAGAACACTTTTGTTGAGATGCAGTTGTAAATTCTATCAATTTGGGGGTAAACATGTAGCAATAATGTAGAATTAAGAGGAAGGTCAGTCTGAACAAAAAAAATGGCTGAATTTACCAAAGATTCATGGTATCATTCTTTTTGAGCAAATAACTTGGCCAACAAAATATTTAGTAGAACATTCCTCTGTGAATACCTAAGAATGTTCTGTTGGTATCTCTTTGTTAGGTAATTATCCAAGTACCTGATGAAGTCTCTTTGGGATCCTGTTTGCATTAGCCCATGTTTAGTTTCTCTGTGGACAAAGTCACTTTAAAGCCTTGTCCCAATTTCCATTTAGATTAAATTGGGTACTCAAACTGGTCTTTGATGTCCAAGTCTAGATAAAGGCTAAATGTTTGCTATAATGCAGTTTTTAGGTTCTTGAATCTAGGGATCTAGCGATCTAGGTCACTAAGGAAACTTGCAGGGTAAATCTTGCTGTTTTAAGGCATCAAACATGTTCTAACACAGGTGAGCAGCCTTATTCCTCCCTCAAGGTGATGATTGATTAGGTTTGATTCCTCTAGTCCCCTCCAGACCAGTCATGGAGAACTCTGTGTTTCATCCTTCATTCAATTATTTTTGGATGTCATCTTGAAAACTTAAAAATCACAGAGTGGAATTGTGGGAGCATCTGACACAGGGCCAGAGGTCACCTACTAGGTGAGGCTGGGTGAAGCCTGGGGGTGCTGCTGAGGGTCTAGGTGAGGCAAGGGAGAGGCCAGAGGGGCAGGAGACCTGGACAGACAGAATGTCAACCTGAGAGTTGAGGGGATGGCATGTTTGAAGGGCAAGGGGGAGACTTAATTCTGATTCCAGATCTGGCTATATACATTTGGAAAAATACATAGGACTTTAGCTACTCAGGGAGACTTTCCCTAATTTTTAGTTTTATTCTTTTTTATTCTGGACTTTGCCTCTATAGTGAAATCTACCTGTATTTCAAAGATCATGCTATAAAGTAATTTGAACCCAGAGTCAAAATTGTTTTCAGTCTCCCTCTCTACGTGTAGGAGCCTCAGGACCCGGGGAGACAGACCACAGAAGCCCAGCCGGCCAAGCAGGCCAAACCGCACTGCGGGAAGCCTCACATCTGGGGCTTTTGGCGTGTCTGGACCTGCGTCCGTTTGGTGCTGTAGTTCAGGGCCTCCTGAGAAGCAAGGTGGAGAGGAAGGAAACAGGGGTTCCTGGGGCTGCGAGAGAGGGCAGACCAGGGCAATTGCTGGTACCACAGAGACACTTTTCTGCTGTGGCTCAGCTCCACTGACAGGACCCACGAGAGACTCAGCGTCAGGCTCTTGCTGCCAGGGATAAACTCTGCCTTGAGTTCTACTAGCCAGTCACACGATACAATGATTCCACTGGTTTTCAGCTGGTCTTTCTAGGAGTTCAGACCTCCTTCTGGGCATTCTTTTTAACCCGAGCACATGCGTGTGCGTCAGGGACCGGTTTCTTCTGTGAGCCAAGGAGAATCCAATCAACAGGAGGTTGAGTTTAGTTAGGCCGGGGTGAAGGTATGGAGCCTGGCGTCTGGAGGCTCCGAGGCGTCCCCCAGGAGGGGCACAGTTGGAGCACTGGGCGGAAAAGACCACACAGGCAGGAAGGAGAGCTGGAGAACGTCATTCCTTCCTGTAAGATGGGAACAGCTTCAGACACAGGATAATGAGGTAATATAAAATGCCAGCAGCAATTTATGGTTTTCCCGAATGTGTTGATCAGATCAAATATAAATACCTGGGTCATTTATTTCCTCTTCATGAATAAACCGACTTCAAAATTGTGTAGAAATCTAATGGCTAAGATGAGTTGTTATTTGGAGCTGGATGGGTCTTTACATTTTTTTTTTAGATTTTACTTTATTTTTTTATTTTTAGAGAGAAGAAGGGAGGGAGAGAGGGAGAGAAACCATCAACTGGTTGCCTCTCGCACGCCCCCAACTGGGGTCCTGGCCTGGGACCCAGGAATGTGCCCTGATCAGGTATCAAAACTGGGACTTTTGGGTTTGCAGGCTGGCACTCCGTCCATTAAGCCACACAAGCCAGGGCGGGTCTTCATTCTTTAATAGTCCTCCAAACTCGGCTTTGTAACTTGTCAACTAAGGCTCTTTGCTTGAGACCCTTTTAACCAATCTATGGACCATCTTCATTCCCTGGTCCTTTTCCTCATTTGGTTTTGCCTGAATTTTCACTGCACCAGTCTAAACACCACCACTCTGTCGAGTGATACCATGTTTCTTGTACTGATTTTTGTGTCATCTGCTGAGATATTACAGAAAAAAATTACTTTTCAAGTTCAATCTCTGAGATCAAAGCTGTTGTATATCTTCTTGTCTTAGGATAATTTCAGTGTCCAGACAATAAGTAAAAATAGACCCATGTTCCTTTTTTCCTAGGAGCTGAGAATGAGGCATTAGGAGACTTCCTTTTTTTCTTTTTTTGATACCCCAATTTTGCCAGTGGGCATTGCTGTCTTTGCCCCATGAAATGAAGGGATCGATCCCTAAGGTCCTTTCTGTTTCTGTCATTTTAGCATAGTTAACTTGCCTGCAAACATTTCTAGAGACCCAAAGTGGCGAACAGGTCTTTCTGTCACAGATTTGTGATCATATTTGCTCTGGATCTTGATCTTTGTAATGCGAAAATTGTTTTAAAAAAATCTAACTGAATTTTAATTTGTACATTTCAAAAGTTGCTGAGAGTAAAAATTCTAGAGATTAAAAAATATTTTTTTATGTAAGACTATGAGGATTCAACCTTCTGTACTAACATATGTTAAGTTGGCTAAAAAGTCTGTTTAGTTTTTTTGTAAAATAAAAAATACACTTTTTATTTTCACCAATAACTTTCTTGATTGGATATTTTGAGTATGTTGGCTATCCCCCACGTGGCATAACATTGATTGTTCCCAATTAATGGCTTCATTTGACTTTTGACTGCTGTCAACTTCAACTGGTCTACCTGACTGTGGAGCATCATCCAGCGAGAAATCTCCAGCATGAAACTTTACAAACCACTTTGGACACATTCAGTCAGTCACAGCACCTTCTCCATACACTGCACAAATACTTTTTTGCATTTCAGCCTTTCTTGAAATAAAGCATAAAATGTTGCATATTTTCTCCCATCTTCAATATTAAAGTGACTACACAAAAATTCACCAATTTTGATAAGTGTTTTAAATGCACACTGATATCACAGCTATCACAATACAATCTGACAAAATTGTTTCGAATGAAGTTAAAGACAACTAGGCTCTACTAAAGCCATCTTACAGAAAAAAACAAATGAAGTTTTTAATTAACTCAATACTTCAAAAAAAACAAAACAAAACCATACATACTTAAAGAACCCAGTAGCCCAGCTTGATATTGCACCTACCACATGCCTACAGTTCCATTTCAGCAACTGGCTTACCACTGGGGTAGGGCTTTTCAACCTTGGAACTGTTGGCATTTGGGGCTGGGCGATTCTTTGTACTGGGGCTGTTTTGTGCATGATGGGGTATTTAGGATTATTCCTGGTTTCTGCACACTAGATGCCAATAGTTACCCCACAAGGGCAATATTGACCCAGTTGAGAACCACTGCTGGGAATTAGTAATTCTAGAAACCAGTGCCTTTGTTTGCAGCTTCTCTGACAGCTTTGCTTACAGAGCAAGCAGAGACCTTGCCACAGAGGTGAGGAAAATGTGGGAGATCTGCTTGTTTCATCCTGGAAAGCACAGGTGCTATGGATGTAAAGCCCTATGTGCTCTTGGTTTTGACCTGGTCCTCCAGGGTCTTACCTGCCTAGGTCCTCTCCAGAAGGAAGTGACAATCAGTCTGCTCTTCTCCGAAAGAATCTCTCTTACAGTAGCAGCAATAGGGCATATTTAGCCAGCAGTAGGAAGAGCTGTTGGCATTCACTTATCCCTCGAAGAATGCCATTACTGTTTTGGCAAGTTGTTCAAGAAAATTCTAACATGTTAATGTATTTACATTTAATGCCATTATTAGGAAATCTACTGTTTAATCAATACTCTCTTCCCATACACTGTGCTAAATCTACTGTTTAAGCAATACTCTCTTCACATGCACTGTGCTAAATCATTGTAAATATTAAGAGGCAGCCAACACTATATATGACATACCTTATTAACCACTGGCAAATTGATACTTCACAAATACATATGAAAATGACTTTTTCTTCCTTTTACTTCAAACTACAGACATTTCTTTTGACAAATCAATACTTCATACATATTAAAATGAATTTTTCTCCCATTTAGTTCAAACTACAGGGCTTTCTTCCCTGTGTATCTGTTAAAATGAAACAATTTGCTTATTAAAACTTAAAACAGTGAACTTGAAAACATACTATAAACTAGTCTTATTTTCAGTACCACAGGAGGGTTATGACTATTAACCAAGCCTCTAAATGTGAAAGAACTGTTAGTAATTTCAT